TCTTTGACCCTCCACCATTTTAGTGGCTATTTGTTGTACCTTTTCAATACATTTCATATCCTTCTGCGAATACGGTGACCATGCTTGGACACAGTATTCCAGATGCGGCCTGACAATAGCCTTGTAAAGCGGTACAAAAACCTCAGGTTCTAATGGTTCTGTGCATTTCTTCATGTTTCCTTTCTTCCAACCTGGAGTCGCAAATGCGAATAAGGCGCGGTGCGGCAGACGATGACTGGACAGGCGCAACACGTATCCTAACCAGCGAAACCGACTAACCTGAATTCAATGGTACAGCGAATTACCAGGAACGGAACATTACTGCCTTAAGGACTAGGTTACAAAACGATTCCCCCATACATCGAGATATCTTTTGTTGTAATCTTCAGCACGTCATAGTAGGTCGACCAATAAGAGAGGGACGGTGTCATTTAACCATTGTTAATGATGATCGACTGAGCACTTCCCATGAAAATTAGGTATTCTCATTCGCTATCCTTATTCTCAGGGAATTTTGAGAACAGTTCTGAGCCGAATGAACAGAGTTATGTGGGAGGTGTTCCGTTGGAGTCGGGTTCTCAATTTTTGACCAGTCGTCTACTGCATCGGAGACTTCTCCGTATGTTTGAGACCGCTGATTTCTGCACAGCCCTCTCAGTGATTTGGACCGACAGAATGAGTTAAGTGTTCTGTACATATCTAAGCAGGCTAACATGCAGTGGAATCTATTCACAATTATCGAAATACCTTCATGAACCAATACAAACAAGAATTGTTTTTACCATCAGATGTGAATTGAGTTGTGTGTTATTGAAACGAATGCCCCAGTGATAAAGTCTCGCTTGTACCCTCCATCGAAATTGCCCCTATTATTTTAATTTATGATACGTCCCTTTCTAAGTATAATGTGAAAATATTTCCTTTGTTGCGTACATAACTAATACGGACTATGGTGCGCGTTCTAACGCTTATTATTTTTTTACCTAGAAAACACTGCAAACCAAGGCTAGTTCAAGCGTACGAAGTCCAGTGGTCAATCTGGGCTTGCCGATCGATCACGTGCAACAGACGATCATTGACAGTTTGAGCAAATGGATTAGTGAGGTAAGTGCTTGGTTAGTTTGTGCCAATTTACCCGAAGTGTTGTATGGGCTAGTCTGGATGTACTTCTGTTCTGGAAAACTTCATAATACTGTGTGCAGTAGAGCTGAAACGTAACACATGAAGATAGTTTTCCCGATCGTTTTTTTTTATCTGGCTTATAGACTGAGAGGCAGCAGCATTCAAAAGTAAAGGTATTTTTGCCCATCAATTTGACCATAGCTGTGCCGATTGTCTAGTTCAACTGTTCGTTCCTATAACCTGTCGCAACTTGGTTTTTTGCGTTTAATCCTCCTGTCACTCACCATCACGACATTTTTTCGTGTATCATTCTGCACGTGGAATATTCGGTACCGCGAGGCCCGTGTGTGTTTCTGCGATGCGATGATGTGGGAGGTGATAGCATATACAAGTTGTGGTACGGAGAGAATGCGCAAGGGATGGGATCATCTCACTCCACGAATGGTTCGTCGTTTTATTTATTCTTAAAAAGAGATTTATACTGATAGTTTTAATCACTTCAAAACACTTGAGCACATCCCCAAATCTAAGATGGACGTGTTTTCTCTTTTATCAGATCAACAATAATCTGCTTGTGTATGCATTTCGAAAACATTTGCTTGCGCACAACTTTCCGTGAGCTGAGAAATGCTTTCCGATTTTACGGATCGAGAACACAAACGTGCCAATGTGTGAGCGAATAGCCGCGACAACGTTTGCAGTTGTGTGTTCGTATGCTCATGGATGATGTAGTGGATATTCGTGTGGTGATACAATCAGTTGAAACGAAATCATGGCACATAGTAACATGAGTTTTGTGCTGCATCGGATCTGATACCAAAAGTGGTCAAAGATTAACTACATTGACTACAGTCGAGCATACCGCACAGTCCATCGGGAATTTATTCAATAGAAATAGTTTGGATGATTCCACCTAGTGGAATAAACCTGTCATCTACTACTGGCACTAATGTGCAATTCACACTGTTATCGTGTGAATTACGTATAAGCTGTTGTTTCTGTTGCACCACGGGATATTCCCACAGTTGAGTCGTTTCGTAGTCACAACTGGGCATCGTCATATACGGTTTTGGGTACAGATATATCACATNTCACATAATTTAACCTTATTTGACGATTTTAAGTGGTTTCGCCCTGCCTGAAATGTGAGGCACGCCAGCTTTGCATCAGATTTTTCTGCTAGAAGATTCAACGGATGGTGCCCAAAAGACGTGCGGTAGGAGAAAGTGGTACATACTTTGACGAAAATAATTAACATCGGCATTTTTAGGACCACTAGTTTGAACAGATTTCAGGTAGACTTTCGGGTGATAGTGTTAGCTGCGGACAACATTCATTGCTTGAAATTTGTAGTATGTGATACACCTAAATGAATTCTCCTCGAATTAAACAGGGCTGAATGGAAATAGTCCCAACAGTTGTACTCACACTATATGGATACGGGGATACAATCCCTTGATCATCTTGGTGGTTATCGTTTGTACAGGTTCCAGCCTATTAAGATCATCTGGTAACCGTGGTCATTATATGCGGATGGAATAGTTTTTCGAATGTACACTGGCTGTAGACTTTGGAACGGTGTTAACTCAAACCGACCGAAAATGCGCTTACGTAAACCGACATTTTCCACAAATGTGCAGGAGTTGAACAATGATGCTGGGATCCTCCTCCATTGAGGTATTTAGCATTTGTTGATTTCCGAGGCCATGCGGAAATCAAACTTGTGGGTTAGGGTAGGACTTTTTACTTAGAAACACTGAATTCAATGTCGCTCTCCAGAAGTCGTTGATGAGTTACACTAATTGTTTCATAGTGTGTTATTGAGCCCTCAAATTGTATTTCTGCTTCCCATATTTTGGCCCTAGAACATTTGGTAAATCATTTATGAAAAGTTGGGGGCCAGTAACAGCTCCTTGTGGAACCTGGCGCCTAGATTCGATACACCCGAACAGCAAATCAAAACAGGACATGGTCCGAGTCTCGACCTAAAATGCCTTTATTGTGCGGTGGTCAGTGAAATAAATGGAAGGTGGTACAACTTTCAAGGAGCCCGTAGTTTCGTTGACTGATTGCGAGTATGATGAAGAATGGCAGACTACACGAATCACGCAGTCTTAATTTACACCCAACTGCGGTAGGAGCTGAAACGGGGAAATGGATTACCTCGCACTGAAGAGGGTCTCAAAATCGGAGTGTAATATCATCGCCGCGTTCAGAAAGATCATACCTTATTTTGGTCATCCGTTTCTGGTGTGCTCGTAGAGGTTTTAGTTTATGAGATATTTTGGAATCTAGGATCCATTAGTGGTCTCAGCTGGCGTTCTGGACATCCTCTTTCCTTTCTACTGTACCATAACTGCTACACAGTGGTGACCATTTCTGTAGTAACAGGAGTAATTTTCATTATCCTTAGACCGTTACCATGCAAGTTTGGTGAACACAGAAGCATATTGATTGACGTCGTAAAAACATTGTGACATTGAAGTAGATCTTTTTTATACCACCATTCCGGGCATTCTTTGTGTTCACTCTGGTATTATTCTGGATCGTCCAACTGTGGACTGTGTATGTTTCCAGCCCTGCCCCCCCCCTCGCCAACTCTGGAATAGTTATACACCTGTTTCATTCTTGATTTGGGAAACTTAACATGAGCCTAGTTTTAACCGTGGCAACCACCGTCAATTGGTTTCTTTCTCTTGACAAGAGAAGTTTCACAGTAGTGTCAGTCGTATGATCGAAAAGCTTGACAGATGTTGCAAGATATGAGCAGATGTATGGAATATATTTTTCATATATCCAGCCCTTGACGGTCGTTTGGTTCAGTGGTGCATTACAGGGTTTAGCGGAGCGGTACTGTGACAATTTTCATAAATGAGAACCCCACTCTATCGGAACGAATCACACACATTTATATCTTATCATCTTGACCCGTGTTCACAATCGCAAAAACAAATGTTTTCATCATCGTCAACTTGTAGTAATCCTAACTTGTTGCTTCCCGCTTGTAACAAAAGGAAAAACATGAGCAGGGTGAGAGTAACATATGCCGGTTTGTCCCAACAGTCCCACAGAGCGCATTTCAAATAGAACAACAGGCTGGCGAACAAGCTCGTCTGCGGTGATTTGTATTGATGTCACAAAATGTATCACTGATGGGGATTAAGTTACACACCATTACAGTGGTTTCACACCCAGCTGAAACAAATCGCACTGTGAATGCGACCGAGGCTTTCGGCGCCCTGTATGAAGTTCACGGGCGATTATCGGGTTAGGTTCGCTGTCGGGTGCTAGCAGAAGCAGTAAACCAAAAAACAATTTGTGCAGGCGCTAAAGCTTCCCTGGTGCACGTTACACGCACACACACACACACACCGCACCAAGCTCAATGATCAAATGATTGGACAAACAACTACGTCAATCCCATTTCCGATCTCATGGTGGAATCCTATCTAGTAATCTATAATGTGATCTGATTGTCTTTTATTTTTCCAAAACACTTTTATTCTCAAGTGGTGATATTTTGTATTGGCATGAATACGACTCACTGCAAACGAGTTTATTCGCCACTCTATTGTTTAAAATATATCGGTTTCTTTTTGGATTCTTCTCATCCTCCAGAGAGAACTGTAGATATTGGGTCGTTTAATACTTTTGGAAATCCATTGACCAAATTTCCAACTTTTCACATCTAGCCTGACATATAACTTGCTGATAATTCACGTTTTCTCCTTAGGGTAATACAGCCAATCTCATTCTGTATAGCACCAATGCGCCTTCCTACTTCTCAAAATGTTCCAACTTTTGAGCAAACCCAAGCCAACGGTATGTGTAATAAAGTAGATCATCACTATGTCAATATGCCGTAGTTCCTGATACTTACTCACTTGATCTTTGATTACTTTGTTGGTTGACCATGGACCCAGTCATGCAGTATCACATTCAACCAATGACGTCATACCGAGTATGACATATGCATGGCACTATTCCCTATTTGTTTAATCTTCTTGAGGAAGGTACATGGATATCATCAGTTCAAGACGTTGTCATTTGATGTGACACTGTGTAAGCACTGATCAGTCAGTGAGAAGCGAAATGTGTTGAAATTGCTCAATCAGTTAGGTGCAACTCGGAGCTCTGTTGCGAAATCATTTGGTAACTCACGGAAAACTGTTCGCAATATTCTATTTCATTGAATGATTATCAGTGAATTTGTTCACGTTGGTGTATCGCAGAAACGAGGCTACCAATGAAAAGTTCGGTGCAGTCAATCCGGCGATCTTGGCATGAATTACCGCTATGTGAGAAGACTCCTTAATGGGTACAGGGGATCGTTTTTAAGGTGATTGAATTAGCACATCATGATGCCTTCAAGGTTTTCAAACATTGGTTTCGTTCCTGGTCAAACTAATGTGGTATTCAATCCTAAGAGACATACAAGCACTCACGAGTATTGATTTTTAGTTTTATGAGAAAAGTTTGACGGTATCGGGTGCTGCAGTGTATGACTTTCAACTGGCGTTACCGTAATTGATCTGTCGATATGCCGATTACAGTGTTTTCAATGCTGGTAAAGCAACTCTTAATTACGAGCAGCTTCCAGGAGGGCCATTAGGTCTCAAATGAAAACAGTTTCTAGAGCAAAAAATATCAGAAAAGGTACGTCACTTCTTTGAGGAAGCATATTTAGTGAAAAGTTATCACCGCTGTTAATTGGAAAATTTCAAGTTTCACGATGTCACTGTGGTAGTGCTAGTAAAAGCTTGCTATGCAGTTGTAACTCTTCCAAAAACTCCGATAACTTCCAGGTTGTTCCAAGGTTGGCGATCCGATATCAACCGTAAGATCGTTACTCAAGGGCGCCCAATTTTACTATTTGCGGACAACGGCCCTTGACGTAACAGTCATCCTCGAATGTAAAATTAGCATCGCTACCACCAAACTGTTTTTTGTTGTTATAACCAATGGAGCAGAGCGTGATTCAA